TGTACAACCATACGAATGAGATAGCTAGTAAGAAAAGGATTAATTTACTTGTTGCCTTTTTGTTTATTTTATTCTTTTAAATGAATACGGTTGTGATTTTACATTTTAGCCATCTAAAATGTGGATTGTGAACAAAAAGAAATATATATATATATATATTTGACATATAAAGAAATGAAGTCGGGAGCAAAGAATTTCAGACTTTGGTAGTTGTAGTACGAGCTGTGTGCTTATTTTCTAACTCGTTTGGATGGATCAATTTAGAAATGAGTCAATTTGATCAATTGTCTCGTTTTATAGACGAGTCAATTTGAATTACCTGCCCCACCCCAGGTAATTGAAATTGATTCAAAACGGATCAATACAAAATACCTCAGGCAGATTGATCCATCCAAAAATTTTGCTGGCAAACAAGGCAATTTGGTACAATTGTCTCAAAATGAGACAATTGTGTCAAATTGATCTATTACAATTCCTCATCCAAACGACTTCAGACTCTAGCATTTATTTTGATATATATTCAGGTGTGCAACGGGTTGGTTTGTATAGGAGATGGCGGAGCCAGATCAAACCGATATTTGGACCGAATAATATCAAAGCGAATATAGCGTGATCCAGTCCTTGGTCTCAAGACTTTTATAAATATGGAAGAAAAATGGACTTTTGACAAACTGGACTAGAATGCAAATGTCAGTCTGGTCCTTGGTCCTAAACTTTTTTTAACTATTGGATTTGGACTGCGGTTCACATGAGCTTGGTGCGATCCAGACTGAACGCTAACGTTGCATACCCCTATGCCACTAGAAGGTGCCACATAATTTAACATTTTCTTGAAGCGACAATGGGTGATTGAATTTTTGTTTTTCGCTTTACGATTAGAGCCGAGGCAGAATTAATAGATAGTCCAAGGGGCCCAAACCAGACTCATTGAATTGAGCTCACTTCATTGTGTCATGGTATACCGTTAAACTAGAACTCCACAAACTTAACTTATTAGCCAGTATTGATACTTTAAGCTTTACAGTTTACCACACTGTGAACACCATTTATTTTCATTCTTTCTTTCTTTCTTTCGTTCTTTCTTTCTTTCTGTCGATGATTTTTCAAACTGATACAGGCCTCCTAACTGGGGGAAGCAACAGGAAGGAGTTCCATTTGCGGAGACATATATGGCAGTGCCATTTGCCTGTCGCATTTTTTGGGTTCTCGAGCCGCAGGTACATTTCGATCACTTTCTCTCTTCTCCTAGCTACAAAGGGGAAGATGCAGTGAAGACCTTCTGAAAATCGAACTCACGGGCCTCTCCCACTGTTGCATTGGGCTCCCAACCCAGTCTGCTTTTTTTACTCACTACGCAGCAGAATGGCGCAGAGAGTGAGAAATGTCGAGCTATATCTATAGCTGCTTGCTTTTATCGGCAATGATGATATTATTATTGTTGTAATTGTGTTTCTTGGTTTGACTCTGTTGAAGGACAGAGAGAAGATGGTCTTCTTTTTCTTGTTATCTCAAGCTACCTAGTATTAGCTTCTATATTTGTCTCGTTGTATTGCTAAAAGCAGACAGTACGGGAGAATTAGGGCAGGAAAGGTGAAGCAGAAGAAGGCTGTTGTTTTTTCTTCAGACAAATTAAGGGGGGCTAGGGTTTTTTGAGTTGGATCAGATTGGAATCTGAATAAGGGTTACATTGGAATCTGAATATGGATTAGATCTAGAACTTTATTTGCTTTAATAGGGAAAGAGAGAAAAAAAAGTAGGATTAAATCTACTATGGCATTACACACAAATTAGTTTTGTAGTCGATTTGTTGGCTGAATGAGTTTCTTTTATCATTTATATTAATCAATTATCATAATAAGAGTTACATTGTAGTCGATTTGTAGGTTGAGTAGAATTGGATGACATTTTAATGAGAATTTTATTTTTCAAGATTGTGAATCGAACCGACCACTCAGAATCTTATCTCATACAATATACACCAATTTATGATTCTTTATGTTTGGTCTAACACTCATCTACTTATTGTTTCTATATATATATATATATATTTTTTTTTTTGCAAAGCAAGGAGGCATGAGCCAAGAACAATAAAGATTACAGGGGGAGAATAAGATTAGGAGGTAGAGTTAGCCACAACACGACGCTCAAAAGTAACACCTCTGACGTCGTCTTGCAAGAGCGTGGTCACATCTGATGGCGGGTCAGCTAGTTCATGCATACCGTAGGGATAGACGAGACTGTGCTTCGAGAGCCAGTCCGCGACTCTATTCCCTTCCCGGTATGTATGAGACAGGCTAACCAGCCAGTCCTGTCCAATCTTTCTGCGGATAAGACTCAAGAGGGTAGCATACGGATGTATGTGATCATATCTCTCCTGAATTAACTGAATTGCCAGCTGCGAGTCGGACTCCAGCTTAACCGCTCGAAATCCAAGATTCCAGGCCAACACCAAACCATACAAAATGGCCCAAAGCTCAGCCAGGACAGCAGAAGCAGTACCGATGTTAGCAACAAAACCACCCAACCACTTACCCTGCGAGTCTCGAATACTACCACCAGCACCTGCTAGACCCGGGTTACCATTAGAAGCGCCATCTGTGTTAACCAAGACCCAACCCTCTAACGGCGGCTTCCACCCAATATCTGCAACTACCGGATCTGCTCGTTGCTTCTTATGGTTGGGGAAGAGCTCCGGAGCATGCCAAGAATCATTCCATAACTTACTTTTGGTTAGGATAGAGTGCATAAGGGATGGAGCAGAAAGTGAAGCACCCGCTCCTTTGAACGCCGCGACTGTTCGATTCTTCCAAAGCAGCCAAATCGCCATGCTGAAGAAGCTTGGCCAACTAATACCCGAACTGGTGGACTCCTTGCTTAAGATGTTGCTGCGGAGCCAAGCTTCATGATTATCATTGAAGAACCCCTGCTGTTTTTGCAGAAAAATTATTATTTTTGTTTATGTCATTAATGTCCTCATGCAGATACAACTCTCGAGTATCACAAAGGGTACAAGACAAGACAACACCACCATGATATAAAAATAGACCATTAGTTCTACAATTGTGATACAATGTTTTGGGTAGTTTAATAGCATTCTCGTACACGAATTATCTGACGCGTGATTGTGACCATGCGTTTGAAAGGATCACATACAATTAATTTTTCTATGTATAAATGTTTGAATTTGGAATTGATCCAATGAGAGGGATCGAATTGATGCACTCTTATTGGATGGCTAAAATTCAAATCTTCCATTGATATATATTGGGTCTAAAATTCATGAAAAGGCTTTCACTATACCGAACCTATTGGTTTGGTGCAACGTGCAAGTGTGCAATCTGTAAGTTCGAACCCCACCAATAGAGATCCTACCATGCATACTACCTTTTGTCTTTCTATGCAAAGCATTGCTTTCAAATCCATTTCCATTAGAAAAAGCTCCCAAGTCCCAATTCCCAATTATTTCAACCTTTCGAGTTTGAACTCCCACCACAGAGAAAAGCAGGGTAGTAGAAAACAGAACACAAGACGGCAAGACCTAACCTAAAAGGTTGAATTTCTAAAGAGAAAATTTTCTTTTTGTCCCTTTTTAATTTGTTCCAACGTTAATCTCAGGTGAGGCTATAGTCCTCCCAATTTTCAAATGTAGATATATTGATATGTACAATTTGTAATGAGTTTTAAAAATAGTCTAGTTGGTAAGGCATTAGCCCGCCCTCCCTAATGACTATGATTCAAATCCCTTCAATGATGACTTTTTTGCTCATTCTCATTCGAATTTCTGACTCCATCACTGTCCACCCCTAAGAAAAATGACAATAATAAATTAATTAAATTAACAAGAAAATATGAACTATGTTAGAAATTTCGTTAATTTTCCTCGGAAAAAGATAACAATAATAACAAGAAAAAATTAACAAGAAAAAACGAGCTATGTTAGAGATTTAGTTAATTTTGTTTCTGCATGCGTTTTTCGGGAGTCGAACTCGAGTCTATTACTTGGAAGGCAATTATCCTAACTGTTGGACTACAAACACACATGTTGATATTTGATTTGAACATCACAAAATAATTAAATATACAAAATTGAAAATATTTTCTACACCTACACTGACATCTTCAAACATCAAACGTAATACTTTGATTAATTCCATAGAATCACTGCCACATCATCCAAGTTCAAAATAATAGAGGAATTTAGTAAAGCCCCCAACTGAATCCAATCGGATTGTCTTGGCTCTCTAAGTAGTAAGTTCATCAAATTGAATGAGAGATGAGAAAGACATAACTTTTAGATATAGTATTTTGTGTCACCATGTTAATCCAACGAATACAAACATTTGAGTGAGATGATTCAACCGATACCAAGCATGTGGTGAAAGCTTAATTACATGTTGCACCAATCATGCTACATACAATCTTATTGCACCAATCCAATGGATAAAAACACCTAAATTGTTTAGGACATTCTGACTCGCTAATGGTTGTTGATAGCGCACTCCTCGTTCTACAATCATTGAATGCATACACTAGCAACTCACACTAGAATACTATAACCTCATATAATCAAAACCGTAACCCGATTCACACGACATGAGAATTGGAGACAGATAGGAACACATTTACCCTTTCCATCGAGTCCAAAAAGATTGAAAAGGAAGTGCTTCATTTTCCCCCCTAGCCAGGCCTTTTGGTCCATCTTGTCAATCGTCAAAACACAACACATTACACACGCAAGAGAAGAAACCCCCAAACATACTTTGACATTTCCGTTACACAGCGATGCGCAACCCGATCTTACATTATTTCAAGCTCATGAAAATCAAATTACAGCAAGAACAGAAGAAGAGCAGTCAATGGTTCATAGTCAGAACTCAATTACAGCAACAACTTAGGCAGGGAGAAAGAGAGATCAAACTCACACAGAAACAGAGCAGAGTTACAGAGCTGTAATCCTAATATACCCATTACCATTAATAACGATTTCCCCATCTTATTGATCAATAGAAGGTGGAGAAGAGAGCTTCCCAAATCTCAGTGAAAACCTCAACGATGATCCTGTGGTGATGATCAGAGTTGAGAGTCAAGAAACACTGCAGCAGCTGCTCCAAATCCTTGGCCCCGAATATCTGCTTCTCTATAATCATCTCCACCATTGATGTCCTGAAATCGTTGTAAGGATCGCTCGAGCTCTTCACCACTGCAAAGCTCCCCTTCACTTTCCCCTCCAGTGGCAGCTTCCCGCTTTTATCGCCACTTTTAGCATCGCCAGCAGCAGCTTTAGCGACGCCCTTCTTCGAGTTGTCGATTTCGCGGCGAATATCTGACTCGACTGTGGCATACCCTTCACGGCGATGATTCCGGCGGTTTCGGTGGCGGCGGCTGGCAGAGAGAGCCGACGAATCGGAGGAGAGGCTTCTGGAGGAGAAAAACAGAGTGTCGGATTCGTCATCGTTCTCATACCCATTCTTATCGCCTTTTCCTCCTCCTTCGTCTTCGTCTTCGCTGCTGAACCAATAGTAACTCCCGCCGAAGTAGACGCTGTCGAGGGACGAAGAACTAATAAGAGAACTCGTTTCCCGCTTCTGGGTTCCGCCCCTTTTCTTCTTCTTCTTCTTGCTTTTCGTCCCCTGTTTCTGGGTACTCTGTTTTTTCCGGTAGTATGACCGGGTCAGGGGAGAAACAGGGGACGACAAATCCGGAGGGAAGCCTTTCCCGGAGTTAGGAACGAGAGGAGGGTATCTTCTCTGGTGAGATTCTTTCCTCTTTGAAGGGATGGTACAGTGATTGATCACTTGAGTTGCGGTTTCAGGGCAGGTTGCTGCTCTGCATATGGTCGGGAAAGGTCGAGCCTTTAGCGACGAAACAGAGCCGTTTTCGTCGTTGTTGATGTTTTGCCGGTGGGGGATGAAGACGGCCTTCTCGGCGACGTCGGAGAGGTTCCGGGTCCGGCAAGAGGACCCGAATGAGCCCCGGAAGATGCGAGAGATCCGGGTACTCAACCGGTTTTCCATTGGTGAGGGAAGAAGAAAGCAGAGGAAGGCAGAGAAGGTTTTTTGGGTTTGTGGAGAAGGGGGTAGAGGGATTAATACAAGAGTCCAAACTGGAAGTGGAAGAAGCGCTATTTATTGATTTGGTGGATTTTTTTTGAATAATTTTGGGGCAGAGTATGATGCTTAGCTTGCTTTCTTTTCCTGCAGTGGTTGTTCGTCTTGTTCCCTTTGTCTGCATGTTGGCCAAAAAAATGGAGAGTAGAGACGACCTTAATCATCCATCAATCATTTTTTAATTATGACTTTCTGGTCTTGAAGATTAAATATGTAAGTGTTATAGCCAAGAAACAGGGGAAATCAGGGACCAAAGAAAACAGGGGACGCTTTATTTTGAATAGTTCTCTCTGCTCGTCATTTTTATATTTGAGTATTCTGCATGGAATGTGGAAACGGTGATTTATGATCGACAAATTTTCTGCATATATTTTTTTCCCAAATATATTAGCAAAAAATTTGTTAAATCAAAGAAATTGAGTTATTTAGAGAGAATTTTTCCCCCCGTATCTACTAGTATTTCATAAAATGTTGGTCTAAGTTAGCTAAAATAGGTAGGATTATGTACGAGGAGAGCTATCATCGGATCTTTATTGATTCATAGTCTCGCCAGTGAACTGAAATGATGAACTTTACACTCGGCGTTAGAGGAAGGAATCAAAGTCGGTATAACATCGTGTCAACCCTCGTTACCTTATGACTTTAGTCACACCTAGATGGGTTTGGCAAAATTGATTGCATTTCATTACGTTAACGGTTAATATTAGGTGTCATGCATTTTCATTGATACTCTACTCGTAAACATAAACATAGTTGATGCAACATCGGATGCAATTTTCTCTGTTGAGTCCTTAACCATTGAACTTTCAAACTTCCTACTTAGGAAAGCTCCTTTCTTTGCTATGCTATTTCCGGCAGCCTATCAGATGTAATCATCCCTCTTTTCGACGGCTACGCCCATGTCATCTTCGGACGTTTGAAGACTTTGATAGCATGTTGAGGATTAATTTTTGTCCACAATTTGAGTAGTTGGAAGCGATCGATATTTTTATTGATGCCTCAACAAGAGGGACGAGAGAGTGATGCAAGTTAAGAGTGTTAAAACTATGGTTTCTAGATTTAAAATCCGACATTACAACCACACTAGTCGATATCCACTGATAACGAAATTAAAACTAAGGTCTACAGATTCAAAATCCAACACCACAACCACTTTGCAATCAATGAAAATGGAAACGAAGGAGCTACTGGGACAGCTGACAGTTAGGTCACTAGAAAGAACTCTAAGTTGTGATTCCTACATCCAACTCTTTCCTCCTATTCGAATTCATTTATTAGACTCTATAGTACTAAAAAAATGTTATCGGAATTGGATCTTTTATGATGTTTCCACCTACCATAACAATCTAACATTTCCCCCTGGGAGGCCAACTTTATTCCTTGCTCTGTTTTGTAGTGGCATATAAAACAGTCTCCATTAACGCCATTATCAGAGGGCAGAGCCCGTCGATAACCTCAAAGCATGACCTATGATGTAAAGATATTTTTGCAAAGATTTAGGTTTTTGAAAGGAGTGGGAGGCAACTAGGAATGGCAAACCCTTCTCGATCCTGCCCGTTGGGTAGGTAAAACTCGGTTAGGTATGGATTTGGCGATACTCGACTCATTTTAATTTATAGTAGAGAATATTTCCTTCAACCATTGTGAGATCAATTGGGATTAAATTCATGTCTAGCTCAGTTCCCAGTATTTTTTTATTTCATCTTCTTCACACTTTGATATGACGTCGATATACAGTTGGTACAATCACTCGAGTTATTGAGAAAGAGCCTAATATCAATATGATACCACTTCCTGCCATTGTATAAAAAACTTATTGAGCTAAATCAAAATCAAATATGAACAATTAGTCAAATAGGAGGATACAATTTGAATCTTGTTTATACCCTACTTTTCTTTTACATTCCGCTCCTAGATATACCATTTCAGTTTGATTCCAAAACCAGACAATTGACCATGTCCACCATAGAAAGGGTCGAGAGTGAGATGGGTTATTACATTCTAGGATGACAAATCCAAAGGTTTGGGCAGGTCAAATTGTACCGCCTGGTGAAGGAAGCTTTTTGCTAGATATTCAGTAAATGCCAACCAACCCTCCTTTTGGGAGCTTGTTCCTGAATAACTAGCTATCGCTTTGGCATTTGGGTTTTCTTAAGCGGGGACCAACCTTAATTTCAAACTCTAACGGCTAAAGTTGATTATTTATGTCATATTCGAAACTCACTTACTACTAGTCTTAGTCTTTGCAAAAGCGTATCGAGTGGATGGTCTAACCGAAAAAATTATGTATGAAATCTAAATTGGTAGACGGTTTTTTCAGTATGAAATGGTTGAATCACGATTTAAACTCAAAACACTTTATTACTGACTTTTCTAGTACCAACCTTCGGTACTGTTTTATAATACTTGTGTTATGACTAGGGATGCCAAAATTAAGGTCTGGGTAATATTACTTTAGAAGTAGACTTATACACAATGTTCTAGTTTGTACAAATAGATAAAAAAAAATTTGCGTACAAGGAGGCCGAAGCCAAGAGAAGAAATTACATCGTCAGAGGAGAGGTGGAGGTAGAGGGACGGGTAGCAATTCTACGTTTGAACGTGATTCCCCTCATATCATCCTAAAGAAGACCAGCTATGCCTTGTGGTGGATCGGCAAGTTCATACATACCGTAGGGATAGACGAGACTGTGCTTCGAGAGCCAGTCCGCGACTCTATTCTCTTCTCGGTATGTATGAGCAATGCTTACCAACCAATCTTGGCTTAGCTTTCTCCGAATAGCAGCAAGGAGAGTCACATAAGAATGAACCTGATCGTGTCTATCGCTGATGAGCTGAATGGCCAACTGAGAGTCAGATTCTATCTTTAGGACGCGGCAACCGGTCCTCCACGCCATATCAATACCATGGAAAAGGCCCACAACTCGGCCAAAGCTGCAGTGGCCGTCCCGATGTTAGCAACGAACCCCATCATCCAGTGACCACGACTGTCCTGTAGCACCCCGCCGCAACCAGCAAGCCCTGAATTTTCGTTTGAGGCACCATCATTGTTCAAGTGCACCAGCCCGTTGGTGGAGCCTTCCACCCAATGTCCACAACAATACGAGTAGTTGGTTGCTTCTTCCCGCAAGGTAAAAGAGCAGAAGCAGCACAAGCCTTCTGCCAAAGATTCGCCTTGGTAATGATGGAGTGAGTCAGATAGGGGGAGGAAAGAGCTCCACTCGAACCTTTGAAGCATAAGGAGCACCTGTTTTTCCACAATAACTAAACCACAATGCAGAAGAAGGCATTCCAGGGCATACCATCATCAAGGAGCTCGTCGTTACCAATGTTGTCCCAAAGCCAGCTCGCCTGATCAGAATGGAAAAAGCGGTCTTGCTTGGGAGGCGACACGTGACGAGACCAGAAATAGATGGCTGGAGGGAAATCCCGGAGAATGTGTAATATGGTTTCCGGCTTCCCCTGACATCTTCTGCACCACGGACCTTGTATTACCCTTCTCGAGAAGAGCAGCAGGTTTGTAGCATTCTTTCCTAGCAGCACAAGCCACATAAAGCTCCGCACTCTCACAGGTATAGGGAGACTCCAAATTATCTTCCAAAACTTCTCATCCGGATCTTGAGGGCGCATGTTGAGAAGTTGGTAAGCTGTCTTCACAGAGAATCTTCCATCTGTCGAGGTACTGCAAAAGATGGTATCATTAACTGCCGACAGGTTGTCAACGGCGACACTGAGGATCTTGTTTTGAATCTCCAAAGGAAGCAGATCCGCAAAGAGGTCAGTCTTCCAAAGCACATCCTCGTCCACGAAACCGCCACCACCATGTTCTCCATCTTACTCGGAATCGGATTAAGAGCCACTTCTCGGAGCGTTACCTGCCAAAGCCAGATATCCTGCCAAAACTTAGTACAATTTCCATTCTTTATATTCCAAGCACAACCCTTCGGAAGAAGGTTAGCAGCCTTAGAGAGGCTTCTCCAGGTAAAGGAACTTCCCTAAATCGGCCTGATGATGTCCAGATCCTTGCGTTCCCGGCCATATTTGGACCGCATCACTTTAGTCCATAAGTTGTCTTTCTACTTGAGCAACCTTCATCCTCCTTTGGCCAACATTGCAAGATTTGCTTGCTTGATCGAGCGAAGGCCGGATCCCCCTTGTTGCTTGGGCAAAATCATCTTCGCCCACGCTACAGCATGCATCTTAGGCTTGTTCTCCTCTTCTCCCCAAACAAAATCCTTGTTCAGCCTGTCTATACGATTGCAAACAACACTAGGAATAAGCTCAGTATTCATACTATAAGTAGGGAGAGAAGCAGTAACTGATCTAGCCACCGTGAGGCGAGAAGCAAAAGAAAGTCTCTTAGCCTTCCAAGGAGCCAGTTAAAGTTAACCCGCTGTCCGGAACTGTTGCAGAAGTCGTCCAAGCATTCCTTAATGATCCTGATCTGCCTGGATTCTGCCTCTGTGAATAGGAGAAGATCATCTGCAAAAAAGAGATGAGTGAGTGGAGGACCATCCTTCGTATGCCGAACAGGCTTCCAGCACTTACTTTGGACGGCCTCATCTATTATGTGAGATAATCTTTCCATACAAAGGACAAAAAGATAAGGGGATAAAGGATCTTCCTGTCTGACACCGCGGGATGGCTGCATTTCATGAGACAGTTTCTCGTTCCATAAGATTCTCATATTGTTCTGTTCCATACAGTACATGATGCAATTGATCCAAGAACTTGGAAGCCCCGTTTCTTTCAGGGTATCTCTTAAGAACTCCCATCGCAGCATATCGTAGGCCTTCTCCAAGTCAATCTTAAGCACAATCCCACCTCTATTTCCCTTTTTCTTCCCTAACGTATGGAGGACTTCCTGAACAATGAATACATTGTCAGTAGTCTGTCTAGGAGGAATGAAGCTGCTCTGTCGGGGGACACCAGCTTCCTCATGATCAGTTTTAGCCGGCTCGTCATGGCTTTCGTAATAGCTTTCAAGCATACATTGTTGAGAGAAATAGGTCGAAGCTACTTGACAAACTTTGGATTCTCAACCTTCGGAAGAAGCACTACGGTCGAATCAAACACCCTCTCCGGAAGGCTACCTGTAAAAAAGAATCTAAGCGTCATATCAACCAGAGATTTGCTTGTAATCTGTCAAGTTTGTTGATAGAAAGCTGCATGAAAGCCATGAGGCCCGGGAGCCTGAAAAGGTTTCATATCAAAGATAACCTGGTGAATATCCAAAGCAAAAAAAGGGCGGAGAAGAGTCATGAGCTCAGAGTGCGTAAGCCTAGGAAAGGACTGCTTGGGTATCTTATCCTCATATTCCGAAGAATCCTGCAGAGACAAAAAAATCAAAGACGAAAGCAGCAAGATCCTCAGAGTCCACCACCCAATTCCCTCCTCCATCTCCCAGGGCTCTAATCTGGTTGCGCCGCCTCTTGATGTTAACATGCTGATGGAAATAGGTTGTGTTTCTCTCGCCAAACTTCACCCAATTTTCTCTTGACCTTTGAAACCAAATTAACTCCTCCTGTTCCAAGACCTTGTCGAGCTCAGCCTCCAGCTTCGAATGTAACTTTGCAAGGGATGGACTAAAGCCGTCCGAAAGCCTGGTCTCAACGCCCTTTAGTCGTGCAAGCAGTCTGCGTTTCTTTTTCAGAACGTTGCCGAAGACATTCTGGTTCCACTATGTAAGCTTGGCTGCAACAACTGAGAGAGCATTGGGCAGGCTATGGTTTGTCTCCCAGGACCCTGCAAGAAAATCCAAAAAAATTAGAGTGGGTGAACCAGGCTGCCTCAAATCTAAAGGAACGAGGTCCCGCAGAATTTTGCCCCTGATTAGCAACAGAAGTGAGGATTGGATTATGATCGGAGTGGAGCCTCGGAAGATGGAGAACAGAAGTCTCCGGGAAGTCAGCATTCCACCGGTTATTGGAGAGACTACGATCTAGTCTGCTAGCTTTATGAGTGCTATGGAGTATGGAGGCCACCTCTGCTCGAGGTAAAGCGCGAGCCCGAGAAACCAAGATCAATCAACTCAGACACATTGATATGGTCATTGAAAACCTAACATCTCCTCAAGGTGATAGCAGAAACGAGACCCGACTTCTTATCAGGAGACCGAATAGCATTAAAGTCCCCTGTGAGAAGCCAAGGAATGTCCACTTCTTGGCTTAGCTGTAAAATGTTGGTCCAGAGATGTTGTTGAAGCGCTGGCTGGGGAGAAGCGTAAATTGATGTCAATATCCATGGATCGTCACCTCCTTGCGAGATACGCAGAGAGATATGTTGATCACACGCCGGAAAGAGCTGAGTGGAAAACATTCTCTCATCCCAGAACATCCATATGCCACCCTTTCGCCCAGTCGCTTCCACTCTGAGAACATTAGGGGATCCAAACTTATCACAAACAGTGTTGGCCGAGGTTCCACTGATCTGAGGTTCCAATAAGATAACAAAAGACTCAATCGTCTTTAGTGACCTGGAAAAGCTTTGCTACCAGCCCCTCCGACGTTCCAAGCCAAGATTTTAATAGAGTTTATAATCGACATAAAGAGACTAAAAACAAAGGGGAAAGGGAACGAGCTCACCGGGTTAGGCAACCTGCAATTGAAGATCTGCGCTATTACTAGTGTCAAGCGCGGACTCCGTTTCCAGCATCACTCTAGCTTCGTTTCCATTTCCTTCGTTCGTCATTGAGTCAGTTCTCGTCCACGCAGTGATGTCCTGGAGAGTCAGGGAAGCCAATATGGATTTCGATTTATTCTTCATTGGGGACCAAATCTGAAGGGGTTTAAGCGGGTTCGCCTTGATGGGAGAGCTTTTGTGAGCGCGAGATTTGCCAGTTCTTGTCCTGCTCGCTTTGATCTCTTTGAATCCCGCCATCGCCGATTTCCCAGCTTCCTGCGCTTTGGTGCTCGTCGGAGGCAGGTCGACGATCTGCATAAGCGTGCCACTAGGGCCCATTACTAGTTGGACCGACGGGGTTGACATGGATGTCAGTTGTTGGGCTGGTTTAGCAGCCGCGGGAGGCCCACTGGGTGTGGAGGGCGATGCGAGCACGACTTTGTCTCCTGTATGAGAGGCCGACGTGGAGGCCTTGGAGGAATCCGAGTTGGGCTTTAGCCCAGCTGGTCATTGGAGAATCTTGATCGGGCCAGAGCCCAACAATCCCTTAGCCGTTGAAGAGGAGTCCTCAATGAGTTTTCCCTTTCCTTTTCTTGAGTTGTCCATCCGTTGAGGTTGATTCGGCTTCTGCCTCGAGGACTGCGAGATCCGCTCCTCACTTTCCTTTTTCTTCCCTCCTCCCTTTCCGTTTTTTATCCCCCCCCCCCTCCTGATTCTGTCTTCCAGGCACAAATTCTTCCTTAACTTTCCCGACGTTGCCCCTTGAGTTCCGCTTGGATTTTTTGGTAACAAGCATCCAAGGGCCAAAACCTGCCATTGACTCAGGCGTCGACGTCGGCGTCGGGCATCCAAAATCCTGCGAGGTCTCACCGGTGATGACAACTTGGGGGTATTGAACCACGACGACATATTTTGGGCATGTCAAAGAGGCATGTCCGATTTTTCCACAGTCAAAACAAACCACCGACAGATTCTCATACTCAATGCGCTGCCATTCATCATCTAAGTAAATTCTTGGAATGAGTGGCTTGGAAAGGTCTACTTCGACTGCCAGACGGGCAAACTTTGCACGCTGTTGATTTAGAGTGTGGTAATCTAATTTGATTGTACGACCAATCAAGTTCTCAATCAAGATCAAGACTTCCCTATTGTAGAAATGCACTTGAAGAGCCGGAAGTTGAACCCAAACAATCATCTTCCTTGGCAGAGGATCGGAGACTCTGAACTTTGGCGTCCATTGTTTAACCGCGATATAATGATAAAAAATCACCCACGGTCCATCCGTAAGAGCCTTTATCCTGTTCATTCTCTAATTTCACCAAATAGAAGTCATTATCTAAATCCATTACCTTCATAGCTCCAATCGGCCGCCATTGTGCATGCAATCGGGAACAGAGGGTTTGAAAACCAACATTTATCCCCATGAGTCAGATTACAAGGGTTTTCTGCCATGGTTCACAAAGTTTACTTTTGAACCCTGTGGAAACCCTCAAAGCCGGTTCCCCATTGAAGTCTCCGGGAATCAAATCGTGATCATCGACCGGTACCCAGACCTGCCGGTGCGTAGCTGTAATGGCTTTCGCCGTTGTTCCAATAACTGCGTTCGCATATGAAGACGCGCCAACCCTCTGAGTGTGATTTCCGTCTCTCGTCTCTGCGCCGGTCAGAGTTGGGGTCGTTGTAGTCTTTGGATCATCTTTGGACCCCTCGTCAATAGCCATGGCAAACGACTGGGGGATCCCGGTTGCCATCCCGCTGCTCACCGGGGAAGTTTGCGTCTCCAAAAGGTCCGGCGGACGTACAGAAGGGAACGCGCTGGTGAATCAATTGCGTTTCCGATGTAGTCAGTCGAGAGCATTTTTCCTTGATTTCCTTCTTTCTCCACTTTGACAAATAGATAATTAAGGCTTGGGTAATATTGCTTTTGAAGACCAACAATAAATGTGCGAATTGAAAGAAGTTAGTGAAATGATCGATATTGTCTTTCAGTGTGTGCAATCATTTGTAACTTAAATAGATCCATTTGAGTCTGGCCCATTTGAGTTGACCCAAATCAAATCCAATTCAAACTCTATCCAAATCCATATCTATTATGAGTACATATATATATGTTCAGTTCAATACTCACATGACATGACAATTGGTCAAACTATCCAATGGATGGACTCATTGCCCTATAATATATACTTATGACTAGAATAGTTTCATTATGAAATGAAAATTTTCAATGGAGATTTAACTACTTACAACGTTTCCTCTTGGGTAGTTAACTACAAATGAAGAGAATATGACCCACATATGCATGTTTTTGAGGTAGCATCAAGGAATAATGGAGAGAGTGTTATTCCAAAGCAGTAGTAGCTGTGTTTGTCTTGTAGCCTTCTTATATACAGCATTTAGCACTCTGTTCTAAGAATTTGAATAAAGCTAGATAGCTAGGGCATTTTCCCTTCTTCACCCACTGAAATGAAGAGCAGCAGAAGAAACGTTTCATATATACACCAAGCTTCCTGTTGTAGTAATTTTGTACATTTGTCTTTATTATTGTTTAGATGGGGCACATAACGACCCTTTTCATTACTGGAAATTTGTTTATTTCTTAGGGTTGTTTTAGCTGAGGAAAAAGTCATTTAGTGTGCATGAAAATTTGAAACTAATAGTTTTGTAGTAAGGCGTCGTCTGTAAGTTGCGATTATTTCCTGAGAATGTTATTATATTTGTATTGTTTAGAATGTATTCTTTTTATGACTTTTATGTATATACGATACATGAATTTTTTATGTGATGTTACATAAATTATCATTCAAAATGAGTGATTATTATGTCTCGGTTTTTAGCTGGAATTCGTGAGATAGTTGAGTTGAGATTGTTATACTTAAACTTTTAGCTACGGTGATATACACAATCACACATATAATACGTTGTATTTTTACAATGTAACAAATTCATTAATATTTACATATAAACAATACCACAACTTTCAAACAAATCCTAATAATAATGGGTTTCTTTTCCGGCATTGAAACTGAAACAACCCCTAAACCCAAAAACTTTGGGCTAGAGAGAGAGAGAGAGTATGCTTTTGAAATCTTAGATTTGAGAGAGTGGAGAGTGGACAAAGGTGGAAATTTGTCACCTTTTCCATGTATTCTTGCGGGCGGGACCAAAACCTTTTTGTGGTTGTCAAAGTTCAAAGACTTCTTTTCAAATACAGCACGACCTTTCCTCCCTTGTTTATGTTTTTTTACCCCCACCTAAAAACATATAACTGATATGGGATTAATAAACGGGCTTAAGTCATAGCTCATATGATATGACTGTCTTGCTGTGCACTGTACTAGCTGTTCATGATCATTGATCGAAGCAACCTCATTCGTCGAGGTGTGATATCATATTAATTAGCCGGGAGTTGATCGCTTCCACATGTTTATCCAAAATGACAATGTGTCCATCACTTAGTGAGCGAAGGGTCGAAAAAAACCAATCGTTTTCTTCATGTACTGCTGATCAAATGGCAAGAGTGCCCTCGATCGAACACAATCATACTTGATTATGATGAAGTGGATCTAATTGTACACACCATAAAGTTCCCTGATACCGTTAGTTAAGAACTAGGAATTAGTTAGGGTATGAAAATGTAGTTTAGATTAATCAGTTGGTTATAAGGAAAGGAAAGTAACAAACTTTCCCTCCGTTCTCTCTCCTCTTGAGTTAGCTTTCCTGGTCAAGAAATTAGGTATGAAGGTTGATCCTGCATTGTAATCTGATCTCTCATGATTCATTCTGCAATGAGAAGCATACTCAGTCTTTCTCAATCCTTCCTCGCACTCTCAATTGGATTCACGAGTGTTCCCGGCAGGCGTCGAGCGATGTCAAACAGTACAGAAACATATCAGTCTCGTCTCTCATATCTTAATAGTAGGTATAACTAAGGTTAGCACTATCCGTGTGTGCGTGTAATCAAGGGCTTATATATACAATCACCAATTTTCAAAGCGGCATCTAAAGGGAGAGACAACCCTCCAAGAGAACCAAAACACGGCCGGCAGTGCTCCCACCAATCTTTTCAAACATGCACACTACCAAACTACTAAACGACATAGATTTTTTTTTTTTTTTTTTTTTTTTGTGTGGGGGAAAGGTCGTTTCATGCTTCTCGATGATGGATATCATCAATACATATGTGACAAGCAGAAAGAACAACGACTCCTAGTTTTGACATTTTCATCCATCATCAATGCGTCATCATTTCCTGAAAGCCACACCCATCACCACTACTTTCTTTTTGGCTGTGATTAATGGAGCTCTGAAAATTTCAAAACCCTATTTTGTTTCTTGGGTTAATATTTTCGTATGGCCTCAACTTTGACCAAAATAAATATTCTGGCCAATTTTTTCGATCTATAACATCCTGGCCCGAACTATACACCAAAATAAACAATTTGGCCAAACCCGATGTTTGACCGTTAACTTGGATGGTCAAACGCATTGACTAACGGTCAAAGCGCCACGTCACTGCCAAGTCAGAAGATCTGATAAATATTTAATTTTTTTCTTTTTTAATTTTTGGTTTAACTAAGGTATTAGATGATTTTTTAATTTATAATAATTTAAAATTAGGGAATGTGGAAATTGTGAATTATTTTAAATATTTTATGTTGACTTGGCAGTGACATGGCGCGTTGACTAACGGTCAACGCGTTTGACCGTCCAAGTTAACGGTCAAAAATCGGATCTTGCCAAATTATTTATTTTGGTGTATAGTTCGGGCCAGAATGTTATAGATCGAAAAGATTGGCCAGGATGTTTATTTTGGTCAAAGTTCAGGTCATACGAAAAGATTGACCCTTGTTTCTTCGGAAAATTTCCCACTGTACACATGTTTTTAAAAAAAATTCTCAAAATACACATGTTATGAAAAAAATTCCCAAACTACGCATGTTTGGGTCTTCACCGCGTCAGACTAAGGCGGTGATTGCTTCACCGCGTTAAACAAGGGCGGTGATGCAATCACCGCGTTAGAGAAAAACGGTGATTGCATCACCGCTGTAGACAAAAACGGTGATAGCTTCACCGCGTTCGACGGCCGCGGTGAAGGCCTGACCTGCGTCGAATCTTTAAAAAAACGTAACTTTGTGCTCGGTTATCCGATCGTGGTGAAATTTTTTTTGATTCCACATAGATTTTCGAGATCTTGCAAGCCGCAAACTGCCGTAGGCGGTTTGGTCCCGCCTTCGTCCCGAAAAAACGTCGTTTGCTACCCCTAACGAGCCTTTTTTCGATTTCGTCAAACTTTGAACGACCATAACTTTGTGCTCCACAATCCGAAAATCATGAAATTTTTTTTGATTTTGCATAACTTTTTGAGGACTACAATTTTTATCATAGACATAATTTCGGAATGTACTTGGATTCCTACGGCAGTTTGCGGCTTGCAAGATCTCGAAAAATTATGCGGAATCAAAAAAAATTTCATCACGATCGGATAACCGAGCAAAAAGTTACGTGTTTTTAAAGATTTGACGTAGGTCAGGCCTTCACCAGGCCTTCACCGTTTTCCTCTAACGCGGTGATGCAATCACCGCGTTTCTCTACAGCGGTGATGCAATCACCGTTTTTGTCTAAGGCGGTGATGCAATCACCGTTTTCGTCTAACGCGGTGATTCAATCACCGCCTTTGTCAGACGCGGTGAAGGCCCAAACATGCGTAGATTGGGAATTTTTTTCATAACATGTGTATTTTGAGAATTTTTTTTAAAAACATGTGTACAGTGGGATTTTTTCCTGTTTCTTCGAACTTTAGAGATTTGGAATTCCCAATAAGAAAGCTAGGGTTGGGTTTTGGAGTGGACACATGTGGATTTATGTGATAGTGAGCATATTGTGGGTTTGCATTGCTGTCATTTTTTTTATATGTGCTGGTCCTCTCTTATTTGGCTCGTGTTATTTTTGGTAGAGGTGGCAAATGGAATGGTGGATTCATGGATTGGATTGGTGGATTATTCATGAATCCAAATGACATCCTTAACCAAGGACCAATATGTAAAATGTGAAAAGTTTAGGTACTAAAATGTTGTAATGAAAAACTTTAGGTACCAAAACGTAATTTTCCAATGATATTTTCGTATAAAAAATTAAATTGTGGGTACCAAAATGTAAAATATAAAAAGTATAGGTACCAAACCGTAATTTGCCATTTGGATCAAATGGATTGGATTAGGTGGATATTTTTAACTGAATTGCTATTTGTAGCCCTAATTTTTTCTTATTTATAGCCCTAAAATAAATTAATTACTATTTTACCCTTTTCCTTTTTTCAAATTCAAATTTTGTGTAATAATCCAACCAAACATCCCCTTCCCTCCCAACATCCAATAGTCATCGGTTTCATGGTACACATTTATAGCCATCTTCACTTATTTTATTTAATTTTAAATATATGATATTAAATGTGGGACTTTTTTTTCCTGTTGAAATACCTTTTACTTTATCTATCGAGGTGTCAAATCATGGTTTTTAATATTAGAACTTTTTAGTTTCCTTCTTTATTTAAAAATTTCATTTATTTCTCTTATCTAAGGGGACTATTATTTATTTTGTATATTTATATTATTTATTTCCTATAATTTATTTTCTCTGAATCGTTGAATCGCATCTTCGATGTGGTATATTCGGTATTTCCGACTTTGTCTCAATGATAGACTTTAATCTCTTTGGATAGAGATTTCTAGCACTTTAGTGGATCCCTTTC